TTTCCGATTTTAATGCTGATTCCAAATCTGAAAAGAAAAATTGAGTGACCCGAGCTGGTTTTCGAGGTATTCAGCATTTAATGGAATCCTATATATGCAAGASCTTTTGAAGCAATAATTGCGCCATCGGAAGTGATGGAAAAATTAAGATTCATATGATAATAGTTATTTGCAGACCCTATGATTGCAAGAATAAAGGCTAGTCAATCATTCTACAATAACACGTGGATATGTTCGACAAAAAGACAAATAGATACATTGATTTGTCATATTTTGTAGTTTCGKTGCTCGAAAAAATCTCATAAAGTCGAACAAARATTATTWTTTTGTTGTGTTASAAAAATTAACTTTTTCTAAAATGTTGATATAACCTAGATTTTYAGGAGTTTTTTCGAATAAGCTATTAAAAAAATAAGGAGCCCCGTGCAAACTTTSAGGGTTTTGCCCTGYTGAAGCTGAAAACGCGTATGGTTCTTCAATAAAATCTTTTAGATTTTGCAGCGGTTTTTGAGCACGCGCACATCGTGGGCTCAAATCGAACGTTCAAAAGTAGGCAGCCACGTTAATTCATTTTTCGACATTGCTACCRAAAAAATTCAAACACATTAATTTGCCGTGAAAGCAAATAAAGAGGGCATAAAAAGGATTTCCGTATGTTGGTTACTGATGACAAAATTTCATTTATAATTTCAAGGTTGTTGWAGCAGTTCATCTATAATAATGATGTACCAACCTACAAATAAACACTTAAAATGTCAACCCTTCGTAAAACTTGATTTTACCTTGCTTAAAAGGCAACAGCGAGCCTTGACGTCAGCTTTATCTGTCTGTCATCTTATTGAGGATAAAAAATAACCGATCAGCGCGTGAGAAATTTGTAAGYTATCGTAAAAYGTTGATTTGGTGAGTATTTGAAGCTACAAGTATTATCAGCTTGAAAGATCGATTATCAATATAAATAATCAATATGAAGTCCAAAAGATCGTACTAAGATATGGACTTGAAGCAACCAAACTGACGTTTCGTAAAATCAAATTGCGAATTTATAATCAATCAACTAAAGTAATAAATCAAAGATGAMGGTGTAGAACTGGGTGTAGATAAAATACTCATTGACCGAGTCGACCTGGACGCATATATTTGCAATAATTAAGCTCATTAACTAGCCCTGGCAATTACCTGACGTGGCATTATTGAAAGGATTCACTCCCCGCCGTCAATTTTATGTACGCCACCATTTTTGGAAAAACCGTATTCGTCAGCTTACGTCAATACCAAAGGAATAGCATTCTACAAATTTCGTGGTCCCTTGAGAGGTYGAGGGCACAGTTTTTCCCTATCCAACCGACTTTAGGGCGGTAAATAACTGATACATTTTTCTCCAATAATTTTTTCCGATTTCTTTAAGTTTGAATTGTTTTTCAAGTTCGGATTTTTTWAAAAGTTGTTTCGTTGTATGACAATGTGCTATCCCATGCTAGCGCCTGAACATCGCGTACAATTCCGGGTAACTTCCGGTAAGTGTGCTCATTTGCATTCTATATAACGGATCGCCTGTCACATTTCATGCTAATAAACCTCAAGGAATCACAAAGAATAAGGAAGAATTCATACTTTCTACTCACGATCGCAATAACGGGGAAGCGTCAAGAAAAAATGTAGCACCGGAAAATAAGAGTAATACAACGATAGTTTAGTGTGCTTTAATCTTACGTCTTAGCTCTTGRTCGATCCAGCGATTTTCTTTGAGTGAATACTGTGTCAAAATGGGGYCCTTTTGTATGGAAAGTACGACAATRYYGTTAAGAAACGCCATATTGTGTGTCTTCGTAAGTGCCCTTCTGATAAATGTAGCACCGGAAATTTGATGTACATTCACTGCCTTAAATGAATCCTGCATTTGTTTCTTTCGGCATTAAATGTGATATGCGATTTTTGAAGTATTTGTTCAGTCACTGTGGCGGACTGGTTTTGCGATGAGAAGTCCAGAATCGCTCGAGAATTGCGTAAAATTTACAATCGTTATAATTCTTCGTTCACCATATTGAGTAGCCAGTTTCCTCGTTGGCTTGGAAACAACGCTCCTTTTTAAACCAAGCGAACTYCGTTTTGTGGTTTGGAGTCAAGGAAGCAAACAACGCGAGGCCTGGGACCAAAATTGTTCGCGGGAAATCTTGAAAGTTGTTGTTGGCGCGGATAGTCATGGCATATTTAATGGCGGACGAAAAATGA